TCAGTGGTCAGTCTCTCACAGTACTGTCAGACATTACAGTCAGTGGGCAGTCGCTTACAGCCCGACATTACAGCCAGTGGTCAGTCTCTCACAGCCCGACATTACAGCCAGTGGTCAGTCTCTCACAGCCCGACATTACAGCCAGTGGTCAGTCTCTCACAGCCCGACATTACAGTCAGTGGTCAGTCGCTTACAGCCCGCCATTACAGTCAGAGGTCGGTCTCTCCCGACGTTGCAAATCAATCACATCTATCTATCTATCTTATTTTACCCCACCATGACATCACACAAGCGATAAACACCCGGTGACAAAAAGTGCCGCCATGTGGATGAGGATCACCCGTGGAGGGGTCTCAGAAACACGTTTAGCCATTAGACCAAATTTATGGTCGGGCTATATGGCAAAAGCCAGTGTGGAGCTTCCAATAACGAAAAATTGCATCCCTCAAAGAAATGTCAAAATTGAGAATATAGAATGTGTTTGCAATCAGTCACAAGCAAGCGAGAAAACTGATACACACCAGACGCTAGAGGGCGCTGTGTTATGTTGACGCTGACAACCGGGCGGCTCTCGTCTGCTGCGCTCCCAAGACCTTGTTGTTTTAAGTCGGTCTGTCTTTTCCTAAACACATTTGTTGCACACCTTTCCCGCTGGATTAGATAGAGCATGTAAGTTGTTCAACATCTCCACCGCTAAATTAGATAGAGCATGTAAGTTGTTCAACATCTCAAAAGGGGAATTAGATAGAGCATGTAAGTTGTTCAACATCTCAAAAGGGGAATTAGATAGAGCATATATTATAAGTTGCTCAACAGGGGGATGAGATAGAGCATGTAAGTTGTTCAACATCTCCACCACTGAATTAGATAGAGCTTGTAAGTTGTTCAACATCTCCACCGCTGGATTAGATAGAGCATGTAAGTTGTTCAACATCTCCACCGTTCAATTAGATAGAGCATGTAAGTTTTTCTACAGAACATCTCCACCGCTAAAGTAGATAGAGCATGTAAGTTGTTCAACATCTCCACCGTTCAATTAGATAGAACATGTAAGTTGTTCAACATCTCCACCGTTCAATTAGATAGAGCATGTAAGTTGTTCAACATCTCCACCGTTCAATTAGATAGAGCATGTAAGTTGTTCAACATCTCCACCGTTCAATTAGATAGAGCATGTAAGTTGTTCAACATCTCCACCGTTCAATTAGATAGAGCATGTAAGTTGTTCAACATCTCCACCGTTCAATTAGATAGAGCATGTAAGTTGTTCAACATCTCCACCGCTAAAGTAGATAGAGCATGTAAGTTGTTCAACAGAACATCTCCACCGTTCAATTAGATATAGCATGTAAGTTGTTCAACAGAACATCTCCACCGCTAAAGTAGATAGAGCATGTAAGTTGTTCAACATCTCCACCGCTAAATTAAATAGAGCATGTAAGTTGCTCAACATCTCCACCGCTAAATTAGATAGAGCATGTAAGTTGTTCAACATCTCAAAAGGGGAATTAGATAGAGCATATAAGTTGCTCAACATCTCAACAGGGGGATTAGATAGAGCATGTAAGTTGTTCAACATCTCCACCGCTGGATTAGATAGAGCATGTGAGTTGTTCAACATCTCAAAAGGGGAATTAGATAGAGCATATAAGTTGCTCAACATCTCAACAGGGGGACTAGATAGAGCATGTAAGTTGTTCAACATCTCCACCGCTAAATTAGATAGAGCATGTAAGTTGTTCAACATCTCCACCGCTAAATTAGATAGAGCATGTAAGTTGTTCAACATCTCCACCGCTGGATTAGATAGAGCATGTAAGTTGTTCAACATCTCCACCGTTCAATTAGATAGAGCATGTAAGTTGTTTAACATCTCCACCGTTCAATTAGATAGAGCATGTAAGTTGTTCAACATCTCCACCATTCAATTAGATAGAGCATATAAGTTGTTCAACATCTCCACCGTTCAATTAGAAAGAGCATATAAGTTGTTCAACATCTCCACCGCTGGATTAGATAGAGCATGTAAGTTGTTCAACATCTCCACCGCTGAATTAGATAGAGCTTGTAAGTTGTTCAACATCTCCACCGCTGGATTAGATAGAGCATGTAAGTTGTTCAACATCTCCACCGTTCAATTAGATAGAGCATGTAAGTTTTTCTACAGAACATCTCCACCGCTAAAGTAGATAGAGCATGTAAGTTGTTCAACATCTCCACCGTTCAATTAGATAGAGCATGTAAGTTGTTCAACATCTCCACCGTTCATTTAGATAGAGCATGTAAGTTGTTCAACATCTCCACCGCTGGATTAGATAGAGCATGTAAGTTGTTCAACATCTCCACCGTTCAATTAGATAGAGCATGTAAGTTTTTCTACAGAACATCTCCACCGCTAAAGTAGATAGAGCATGTAAGTTGTTCAACATCTCCACCGTTCAATTAGATAGAGCATGTAAGTTGTTCAACATCTCCACCGTTCAATTAGATAGAGCATGTAAGTTGTTCAAAATCTCCACCGCCAAATTAGATAGAGCATGTAAGTTGTTCAACATCTCAACAGGGGAATTAGATGGAGCATGTAAGTTGCTCAACATCTCAACAGGTAAATTAGATAGAGCATGTAAGTAAGTTGCTCAACATCTCAACAGGGGAATTAGATAGAGCATTTAAGTTGTTCAACATCTCCACTGCTAAATTAGAACATGTAAGTTGTTCAACATCTCATAAGGGGAATTAGATAGAGCATGTAAGTTGCTCAGCATCTCAACAGGGGGATTAGATAGAGCATGTAAGTTGTTCAGCATCTCAACAGGGTGATTAGATAGAGCATGTAAGTTGTCCAACACCTTTAATGTGTTACTAGATTCTGAACACCATCCAGTTGACCCATATTCGAAGTGTGGTTGTATGCTCTGCTTGTATACTTTATTGAGGGCTCTCCTCCGAACTTCTACCTGATGTTATGGCAGCCAAGCAAATATCCTAACAGGGCCTCAGTCATGTGTAAAATTATCTTGGCAGAAAGTCCACATTTTACACATGACTGGGGCCCTGTTAGACTATTTGCTTGGCTGCCATATTTTCTGGTAGAAGTTCAGAGGAGAGCCTTATTGAGTATTTTCCCATTGGCTCCCCATGTGGTTCCACTTAGTTCTCTTAGTTGTTGGCTGTCTTCCTCCTGGCTTTGGTTGCTGCCTTGTCGATATGTTTTCTCCATGTCAACCTGTCATCAAATGTGACTCTGAGGTATGTGGACTCTTTATCATCTCATAGGGTAATTGGTTTATTTTGATGATGCCGGCTTTTTGCTTGTGGGAGAGAGTGAAAAGTGTGGTGCTACATTTGTCTGTGTTGATGCTGACACACCATCTATTTAGCCATGCCTCAAGTGCATATGTAGCTCGCTGTAGTGTTCTTGTGGTTATCATTGCATGTTCATTGGTGCACCACAGTACTAGGTCGTCGGCATACATTGCCATTTTGATTCCATTTGGTATTTCAGCAACCAGATCGTTGATGAATAATCAGGATACTGTTTCTGACTCTGTTGTAAGCATCTTCTTAATCAAGTGCTGCTACCACCATTTCCTGTCTGATCTGGAAACCTTCAAAGGTGTCAAAGGCAAAAGTGGCTGCATTTGACCATGTGTCTTTTCTTGGCCGGTAACTTCCCAAGCCTCCTGGAAGGAGCTTTCTCTCTTCCAAAAATTCTTGTAGCTTACCCACCACTATCTTCTTCAACACTCTACCAAAGGTATTGTGTAGGGTTATGATCCTTAAACTGCTGAGCGTTCAATGATTCGTGCCAGGCTTGATAAGTAGAATCAGGTAGCTGTGCATCCACTCATCTGGGACTGCAGCTGTCCTAATGCTCTCGTTGAAACAAGCAGTCATCTCCATCTTCATCCCCAATTCTTGAAGCTTATCTGCCACTTCTTCTCCAACTGATAGTGGTAAAAGTAGGAGCAGTGGTGGTGGTTGTAGTACTAATAGTAGTAGATGTAGCAGCAGTGGTGGTGGTTGTAGTACTAATAGTAGTAGATGTAGCAGCAGTGGTGGTGGTTGTAGTACTAATAGTAGTGGAAATAACAGCAGTGGTGGTGGTTGTAGTACTAATAGTAGTAGATGTAGCAGCAGTGGTGGTGGTTGGAGTAGTATTAGTAGTAGATGTAGCAGCAGCAGTGGTGGTTGTAGTACTAATAGTAGTAGAAATTGCAGCAGTGGTGGTGGTTGTAGTACTTATAGTAGTAGAAGTAGCAGCAGCAGTGGTGGTGGTTGTAGTACTTATAGTAGTAGAAGTAGCAGCAGCAGTGGTAAAGACCATTTTGCACTCTCTTACATGTATTGGGCATATAGGGCTAGACCTATATTTCATAGACTAATTGGCACTGGTGGGCAATGTGGGCAACATCAAACCAGCTGCCTTTACATCCCAGGCAATATCTGCTAGCCACTCATGGCTGGGTCAACCTGGAAGCCTGAACCTGAACTCATGATCTTCTGATCCACAGGGAAGCATCTAGCCACTACACAATGGCAGCTCCAGCAGCAGTAGTAGTTCTTATTAACTAATATTCTGTTCAACCTTCAGGACTTTAACTGGGACATATAGTGTCCATTGTAGCAGTAGTAACTACTAACATTAGTAGTAATAATATCTTTGTCAACTTGATTATTTATTATCATGGTGATGTTGGTGATGGGGGTGGTGGTGATTGTAATTAATATTATTAACAGTCAGGAGAGAATATTGTGGTGCTCAGCTTGTTCAGTATTAGTTCTTGATGTCTCTGTGATGAAGTTTTTTAAGTGCCTGCTACTGTTTGCTTGATGACCACAGCCATGGTTCCTGGTACACACAGCATGCAACAAACATGTTTTAACAGAGAATAGGCAGCAGACTGGCACTGCTCTGACAAAGATGTGAGGATGTGTTGCAACCCAGAGTGTTGTGTATAAGCAGGAAGTTACAGAATTAGGTATCAGTTCTCTCCAAGATGGCAGTTCCTCTGAGAGGAAACCTGGCTCTTAAAAGTGGAGGTAAGCTTATTGTGTTGTTGATGTTTGTTGTTGTTGCTTAGCCTTCCTTCTCTAGCTGAGATTTCTCTGCCTTGCCAATGGCTGACAGCATGCTTGTGGGTGTTCCGCACCCACACCTCTCCATGGCTGAATTATGAGGGAATAAAGAATAGACCCACTGCCCAACCCCTCCCCCCCCCCTTTCCCCGTCATAAAAAGTAACTGACTGGGGGAGTTTCCTTTAGAGTCAGAGTTTGTCTGCCGTGCCTTAGAGGCAAAGAACCAAAAGTCTCCATATAAATAAGCCAAATATGTAAAACAGATGTGCACACAAACACATGTGCTGGAACAAGACCACATTTCCTTGTCTATCAGGCTTGTGTTCTCAGCACTGTTTTATTGCAGTGAAACCTGGTCAGCCTATTTGCATCAGGAGAGACGGCCAAATAGCTTTCACATGCGATACCTAAGAAGAATACTTGGCATTAAGTGACAGGACAAAATCACAAACACTGACTTACTGGAAAGAGCAGGTACTACAACAGTCTTTTCCATGCTCAGTCTACGAAGGCTCAGGTGGCTGGGTCACACCTGGAGAATGGAGGATGGCAGAGTCCCTAAGGATATCCTTTATGGAGAATTAAAGACAGAAAGAAGATGTCGAGGTTGATTTCTACTACGGTATAAAGATGTGTGCAAGCGGGACATGAATGATAAGGCATTGAGGTATACTCACCGGGGGGGGGGAATGCTGTGGACCATGTTAAGTGGAAAGAGCATATCAGGAAGGGAATGAGAATTAAGGAAGAAATGATTGCAGAAAGGATGAGAGCTCAGCATCTGAAAAGAAACGGATTAAACACAAATGTTGTTAACAATGGTCCTGAAATCCCATGCTATCATTGCGGAAAACTTTTCTTGACACGGCCAGTCTTGCTAGTCACACTCGCCATCGCCATGGGCTGTGAGTCTCATAGCGCAATATAACACTATCGTCTGGAAAGACGGAAAGGTGCCAGTCAATCAGGATGGGATATGAACTGTCCCCCATTGGAATGGGATATGTACTATCTATCCCCCATCGGGATGGAATATGTACTCTCTCCTCCATCAGGATGGGATATGTACTGTCCCCCATCAGGATGGGATATGTACTGTCCCCCATCAGGATGGGATATGTACTGTCCCCCATCAGGATGGGATATGTACTGTCCCCCATCAGGATGGGATATGTGCTCTCTCCCTCATCAGGATAGGATATGTACTCTCTGCCTCATCAGGATGGGATATGTACTCTCTTCCCCATCAGGATGGGATATGTACTCTTTCCCTCATCAGGATGGGATATGTACTCTCTTCCCCCATCAGGATGGGATATGTACTCTCTTCCCCATCAGGATGGGATATGTACTCTCTTCCCCCATCAGGATGGGATATGTACTCTCTTCCCCAATCAGGATAGGATATGTACTCTTTCCCCCATCAGTGTGGGGTATGTACTCTGTCCCCCATCAGGTTATGATATATATACTCCATCCCCCATCAGGATATGATATATATACTCCACCCCCCATCAGGATATGATATAAATACTCTGTCCCCCATCAAGATATGATATATATACTCTGTCCCCCATCAGAATGTGATATATACTGTTCCCCATCAGTGTTGGGTGTGTACTCTGTCCCCTATCAGTGTGGGGTATGTACTTTCATCCACATCAGAGCCAAATGTGTACACTGACCCCTATCAGGGTGGAATGTGTACTCTGACTCCTATCAGGGTGGATACTCTGACTCCTATCAGGGTGGAATGTGTACTCTGACTCCTATCAGGGTGGAATGTGTACTCTGACTCCTATCAGGGTGGAATGTGTACTCTGACTCATATCAGGGTGGAATGTGTACTCTGACTCCTATCAGGGTGGGATGTGTACTCTGACCCCTATCAGGGTGGGATGTGTAACAGGTATTCCTGTCTGTTTTAGCCTTAGCACCGACGGCCAGCAAGTTATCCACCCAGTATATGGTTGTTGATCACATGACCCATCATTACACCAAGATTGACAAAGCAGGATGTAAGCATAACACTACTGTTGTTTGTGACATGTCAGGATGTAAGCATAACACTACTGTTGTTTGTGACATGTCAGGATGTAAGCATAACACTACTGTTGTTTGTGACATGTCAGGATGTAAGCATAACACTACTGTTGTTTGTGACATGTCTGGATGTAAGCATAACACTACTGTTGTTTGTGACATGTCAGGATGTAAGCATAACACTACTGTTGTTTGTGACATGTCTGGATGTAAGCATAACACTACTGTTGTTTGTGACATGTCTGGATGTAAGCATAACACTACTGTTGTTTGTGACATGTCAGGATGTAAGCATAACTCTACTGTTGTTTGTGACATGTCAGGATGTAAGCATAACACTACTGTTGTTTGTGACATGTCTGGATGTAAGCATGACAGCATTGTTGTTTGTGACATGTCTGGATGTAAGCATGACAGCATTGTTGTTTGTGACATGTCTGGATGTAAGCATGACAGCATTGTTGTTTGTGACATGTCTGGATGTAAGCATGACAGCATTGTTGTTTGTGACATGTCTGGATGTAAGCATGACAGCATTGTTGTTTGTGACATGTCTGGATGTAAGCATAACACTACTGTTGTTTGTGACATGTCAGGATGTAAGCATAACACTACTGTTGTTTGTGACATGTCTGGATGTAAGAATGACAGCATTGTTGTTTGTGACATGTCTGGATGTAAGCATGACAGCATTGTTGTTTGTGACATGTCTGGATGTAAGCATGACAGCATTGTTGTTTGTGACATGTCTGGATGTAAGCATAACACTACTGTTGTTTGTGACATGTCAGGATGTAAGCATAACACTACTGTTGTTTGTGACATGTCTGGATGTAAGCATGACAGCATTGTTGTGTGTGACAAGGCTAAATGCAAGCATGACAGCATTGTTGTGTGTGACAAGGCTAAATGCAAGCATGACAGCATTGTTGTGTGTGACAAGGCTAAATGCAAGCATGACAGCATTGTTGTGTGTGACAAGGCTAAATGTAAGCATGACAGCATTGTTGTGTGTGACAAGGCTAAATGCAAGCATGACAGCATTGTTGTGTGTGACAAGGCTAAATGCAAGCATGACAGCATTGTTGTGTGTGACAAGGCTAAATGTAAGCATGACAGCATTGTTGTGTGTGACAAGGCTAAATGCAAGCATGACAGCATTGTTGTGTGTGACAAGGCTAAATGTAAGCATGACAGCATTGATGTTTGTGACAGGTCTGGATTTAACCATGACACCAACTGATGTATGTAACAGGTCTGAATGTAAACATGACAGATGACATGTATGATGTAAGCAGGACACCATTGATGTGTGGGATGTGTCTGGATGTATGCATGATACCACTGATGCATGTGACATGGCTGGATGTAAACATGACACCATTGATGTGTGTGACGTGTTTGATTTCAGCATGACAACATTGATGTCAGTTACATGATTGGATGTATGCATGACACCATTGATGTGTGTGACATGACAGGATGTAAGCAGGACACCTTTGATTTATGTGACATGGCTGGATGTAAGCATGACACCATTGATGTATGTGAAATCTCTGAATGTAAGCATAATGCAACTGATCCATGTTACATAGCTGGATATAAGTGTGACACCATTAGTACATGTGACATGGCTGGATGTAAGCATGACACCATTGATGTATGTGAAATCTCTTAATGTAAGCATAATGCAACTGATCCATGTTACATAGCTGGATATAAGTGTGACACCATTAGTACATGTGACATGGCTGGATGTAAGCATGACACCATTGATGTATGTGAAATCTCTTAATGTAAGCATAATGCAACTGATCCATGTTACATAGCTGGATATAAGTGTGACACCATTAGTACATGTGACATGGCTGGATGTAAGCATGACACCATTGATGTATGTGAAATCTCTTAATGTAAGCATAATGCAACTGATCCATGTTACATAGCTGGATATAAGTGTGACACCATTAGTACATGTGACATGGCTGGATGTAAATAGGACACCATTGATGTAAGTCACCTGTTTGGATGAAATTATGACACCACTGATGAAAGTGACATTTCTAGATGTAAGCATGATGCCACTGATGCATGTGACATAGCTGGATGTAAACATGACACTGTTGATGTATGTGACATGGCATGATGAAACATCACACTATTAATGTATGTCACCTGTCTGGATGTAAAAATGACACCACTGACGTATTTGACATGGCCGGGTGTAAATATGACACCACTGATGTATGTAACATGGCTGGATGTAAGCATACACTACTAATGTTTGCGACATATCTATCATCTGACATCTCTGTGATGTGTCAGTCATCATCTGACATCCATATTTTTAACCGTCATCAATCCTTGAACATCTCCATCTGAGATGCATCCTCCATCATCTGACATCTTTGTCTGTGGTGCGTCCTCCATCATCTGACATCTCAATCTATTATGTGTCCTCCATCATCTGACATCTCTATCTATTATGTGTCCTCCATTATCTGACATCTCTTTCGGTTATATGTCATCTGTCATCTCTATCTGTGATGTGTCCTGCATCATCTGACATCTCTATCTCTGATGTGTCCTCCATCATCTGACGTCTCTATCAGTTATATGTCATCCATCATCTGACATCTCTATAAGTTATATGTCATCCATCATCTGTCATCTCTATCTGTGATGTGTCCTCCATCATCTGACATCTCTTTCTGTGGAAACACTGGAATCCGGTTGACCAGATTTGTTTGTTTATTTCTCCACATTTCAGCGCTTGTAGACACGCAGCCTCCCCAGAGTTTGCTGACCAGTCAAAAAAGTAAGTCACTTGTAAATGCAACAATACAAAGCTAATGTCTTTACCTGTGTCTGGGTGATTGTCATTGGGAAGGGGGGGGGGGGGATTTACGACTATGTTGTTTGCTTTCTGGCTTGTCTTGCATTTACGTTTTTCTTCCCAAAAAGAGAATGCCTGTGACAAAGCTTGCAGCACCTTCTAGGGAGTTTTGGGTTTGACCCAGTTTCTAAATGTTTTTGTAGTGTTAAAAGTGCTGTGGTGCTTAAATATACAACACACAATATCAGCTGATATCAACAGTATTGGAACACCCACCTAGCAGTTTGTGAAGGCTGGGAAACTAAGGTCTGATCAGTCAGAAGCGAGCTAGTGAGCTAGTGTGTAAAGTGGGAAGATTATAGTGGAAGTAACCTTCTTTCTGTATTTACCTGTGGCTGGGTCATTGTCATGGTAACCTGATCTGTCTCTCGGCCTGTAGCTGGGTCATTGTCATGGTAACCTGATCTGTCTCTCAGCCTTTACCTGTAGCTAGGTCATTGTCATGGTAACATGATCTGTCTCTCTGCCTTTACCTGTAGCAGGGTCATTGTCATGGTAACATGATCTGTCTCTGGCCTTCACCTGTAGGTGGATCATTGTCATGGTAACATGATCTGTCTCTCTGTCTTCACCTGGAGCTAGGTCACTGTCATGGTAACATGATCTGACTCTCGGCCTTCACCTGTAGCTGGGTCATTGTCATGGTAACATGATCTGTCTCTCTGCAGACATCTGCTTACCTTATCTACCTCTATCACCATCATAATCTGCCATTATCACCAACATCATCTACCTTAATCACCATCATAATCTGCCATTATCACCAACATCATCTACCTTTATTTTGTCAAATACCTTTATCACACTCATCATCTGCCTTTATCACCAGGTGTAAGCAGATGTAATCTTTGAGTTGAATATTGAGAACATTTTTTAATCTTGCAGCTAGCAGTCAAACACAAGAAAATTTCTCATCAGACATAATAAATCTTGTTGGATTTTACAGTCAGAGACAGGAAAGTCCGTGACCTTATCATCAACAGCCTTCACCCACAGTTGACCTCTTCTGTACAGTTTGGATCTAGCCATAGTCATACAAATGGCCTGTATGTGAGTAAATTTGTGCTACATAGATATATAAGTCATGCAGCTGTGTTCACAAGTAGATATTTACCCTGAAACTCTATGCGTGTGTGGCTGTGTGTACATTATCAGTCAACTAGTACCTCCTCACCAGTGTTCACCAGTAGATATCTACCCTGAAACTCCATGCGTGTGTGGCGGTGTGTACATTATCAGTCAACTAGTAACTCCTCACCTGTGTTCACCAGTAGATATCTACCCTAAAACTCCATGAGTGTGTGGCTGTGTGTACATTATCAGTCAACTAGTAACTCCTCACCTGTGTTCACCAGTAGATATCTACCCTGAAACTCCATGAGTGTGTGGCGGTGTGTACATTATCAGTCAACTAGTAACTCCTCACCTGTGTTCACCAGTAGATATCTACCCTGAAACTCCATGCGTGTGTGGCTGTGTGTACATTATCAGTCAACCTATAACTCCTCACCTGTGTTCACCAGTAGATATCTACCCTGAAACTCCATGAGTGTGTGGCGGTGTGTACATTATCAGTCAACTAGTAACTCCTCACCTGAGTTCACCAGTAGATATCTACCCTAAAACTCCATGAGTGTGTGGCTGTGTGTACATTATCAGTCAACTAGTAACTCCTCACCTGTGTTCACCAGTAGATATCTACCCTGAAACTCCATGAGTGTGTGGCGGTGTGTACATTATCAGTCAACTAGTAACTCCTCACCTGTGTTCACCAGTAGATATCTACCCTGAAACTCCATGCGTGTGTGGCTGTGTGTACATTATCAGTCAACCTATAACTCCTCACCAGTGTTCACCAGTAGATATCTACCCTGAAACTCCATGCGTGTGTGGCTGTGTGTACATTATCAGTCAACTAGTAACTCCTCACCTGTGTTCACCAGTAGATATTTACCCTGAAACTCCATGAGTGTGTGGCTGTGTGTACATTATCAGTCAACTAGTAACTCCTCACCAGTGTTCACCAGTAGATATCTACCCTGAAACTCCATGCGTGTGTGGCGGTGTGTACATTATCAGTCAACCTATAACTCCTCACCTGTGTTCACCAGTAGATATCTACCCTGAAACTCCATGAGTGTGTGGCTGTGTGTACATTGTCAGTCAACCTATAACTCCTCACCTGTGTTCACCAGTAGATATCTACCCTAAAACTCCATGAGTGTGTGGCGGTGTGTACATTATCATTCAACTAGTACCTCCTCACCTGTGTTCACCAGTAGATATCTACCCTGAAACTCCATGAGTGTGTGGCGGTGTGTACATTATCAGTCAACCTATAACTCCTCACCTGTGTTCACCAGTAGATATCTACCCTGAAACTCCATGAGTGTGTGGCGGTGTGTACATTATCAGTCAACTAGTAACTCCTCACCTGTGTTCACCAGTAGATATTTACCCTGAAACTCCATGAGTGTGTGGCTGTGTGTACATTATCAGTCAACCTATAACTCCTCACCTGTGTTCACCAGTAGATATCTACCCTGAAACTCCATGAGTGTGTGGCGGTGTGTACATTATCATTCAACTAGTACCTCCTCACCTGTGTTCACCAGTAGATATCTACCCTGAAACTCCATGAGTGTGTGGCTGTGTGTACATTATCAGTCAACCTGTAACTCCTCACCTGTGTTCACCAGTAGATATCTACCCTGAAACTCCATGCGTGTGTGGCTGTGTGTACATTATCAGTCAACTAGTAACTCCTCACCAGTGTTCACCAGTAGATATCTACCCTGAAACTCCATGAGTGTGTGGCGGTGTGTACATTATCAGTCAACTAGTAACTCCTCACCAGTGTTCACCAGTAGATATCTACCCTGAAACTCCATGAGTGTGTGGCGGTGTGTACATTATCATTCAACTAGTACCTCCTCACCTGTGTTCACCAGTAGATATTTACCCTGAAACTCCATGTGTGTGTGGCTGTGTGTACATTATCAGTCAACCTGTAACTCCTCACCTGTGTTCACCAGTAGATATCTAGTAGAAGGGTTGAGTGTGCAGATGCCAGTCTGGTTGCAATATTGAGGTTAACCATGCTTTTTGTGTCAAATGTTTTAACCATTTCTTTTAATTAATGCCACAATTGCTGAATCTTAACATTTCCTTAAGTTAAATATCTTGAGTAACTACATATTTGATTTAAATCCCTCGACTAGGTAGATGGACTTAGCTAGGTCAGTTTTTTCTGTCCTTAACCTGCGACTGGCCCAGCAAGTCGGCAGGGATTACTTTCACTGCTCAAAGAAACAGACTGAAGTATAAACAGACTGATTTGGATGGTAACTAACCAGGCAGTGCTAAAGGACATCAAAGTAGACCAGCGGTTAAAAAATAGGAACACTGAACATCTGTGGACTAAAGAATAATCAAGAAGAACTAATAGAAATCATGAGAAAATGAAAAATAGGAATTATGAGAATTTCAGACACTAGAATTAAAGGTCAAGAATGCAAGGAGATTCACTCAAATGTTATGTTTATATACTCTCAAGGTTTCTATACAGAGATGAACCTAATGAGAACAAGATTTGATCCCTATAATCCAGCTGAAATAATTCACAGTGACAGAGGAGAAATATTGATACCGTCTTTAGGTTGCCTGTGTCAGACTTGGACACTGGCAAAAGAACACGAAAGAAAACTAACCACCTGTAAGATGAGATGTTTGTGAATGGCTGCGAAAAATTCCACAAGAGATCAAGTGAGAAAGGACGTGATCACAAGAACTTTTGGAACAACACTCATCATCAAATTTATTGAGAAACAAAGAATGAAATAGTTTGAAAATGAAACTGAAACCAACGATGCCAGCAGCAAGAACGTATAACCTGAAATCTAAACATCAAGACGCTTGGGAAGACCGAAAAGAAGATGGATTGAAGGAGTCACTGACACCTTGAGACTGCTAAACATCACGGCATATAAAGCGACCTAGCGCGCCCTGGTTTTGGCTGCCAATCGTCTGATGAACTGTGATGCCTAGAAGCATAAGCAGATATTAACAAAAGAAAGAAAGTACACAAAGGAGAAACTATAGGTGAAAAGAAATCAATTGAAAAAATGGAAGCAGAACTTAGAACAGCTTTTCAATATACCATCTGAGGGCAGAGAAACTAGAGACACTACAGTGGTCACCATTGAGGAACTGGAACCTGACATACTGACAGAAAAGGTCAGGGAAGCTTTCAGTGCCCCAATAAATAAAACACCAGCACCAGATGAAATTCCAAATGAACTCATTGAAGCAGCTAACAAAGAAGTGGGAATAGTGACTGCACATACTGTTGACCCATGTGTCTTGGGAAACAACAGACTGTTTAACCATGTGTGAGAGAAACAACAGACTGTTTAACCATGTGTGAGAGAAACAATAGACTGTTTAACCATGTGTGAGAGAAACAACAGACTGTTTAACCATGTGTGAGAGAAACAATAGACTTTTCAACCATGTGTGAGAGAAACAACAGACTGTTTAACCATGTGTGAGAGAAACAATAGACTGTTCAACCATGTGTGAGAGAAACAACAGACTGTTCAACCATGTGTGAGAGAAACAACAGACTGTTCAACCATGTGTAAGAGAAACAATAGACTGTTCAACCATGTGTGAGAGAAACAACAGACTGTTCAACCATGTGTGAGAGAAACAATAGACTGTTCAACCATGTGTGAGAGAAACAACAGACTGTTCAACCATGTGTGAGAGAAACAATAGACTGTTCAACCATGTGTGAGAGAAACAACAGACTGTTTAACCCTGTGTGAGAGAAACAACAGACTGTTCAACCATGTGTGAGAGAAACAATAGACTGTTCAACCATGTGTGAGAGAAACAACAGACTGTTCAACCATGTGTGAGAGAAACAACAGACTGTTCAACCATGTGTGAGAGAAACAACAGACTGTTTAACCATGTTTGGGGGAAACAACATACTGTTGAACCATGAGTGGGAGAAACAACAGACTGTTTAACCAAGTGTGAGGGAGACAACAGACTCCACGAGACTGAGGAAATGCCGTAATCATTCCAATATGGGCAAAAACAAAGGCAGTAAAAAATATTTGCACATAGTACTGAGGCATCTCCTTGTTGAGTCTCCTTGTTGAGTCACACTGGGACAATATTCTGCACAATTCTAGAGAAAAGACTACAACCTGTAATTGAGCTCCAGCTGAGTGAAGTGCAACTAGGAATTAGAGAAAACATGAAATGCACAGATGCCATCTTTGCTGTCAGACAGCTTATAGAAAAATCAATTGAATTAAGAGAATATTTTATTCCGTTGACCAACAAAAAGCATTTGACAGAGTAGATAAGAACAAACTATGGGGAATCTTGAAAAGTTATGGCGCGAACACCCATTTAATAAGCATATATAAAAGCTTGTTTAACATTGAATGTACTGATACAGCAAACGGAGGGCACTTATAACTATTGACCATAAAATCTGGAGGGGGGCAGGGCTGTGTCCTGGCTGGCCTTCTCTTTATAACTTACATTAATAACAGCTGTCAGGAATCCAACCTGGCCAGGATTATAATACACCAAGGAGAAAAAGATCCAAAGCCAAACAGCTCCATCAAAGAACTGCTATTTGCTGACGACCAAACACATTATTAAAACCACATTTGCAAAGAACATAACATGAAAATTAATGCCAACAAAACAGATCATGATCACAGCTAAAGTAGACAAAACAATACTCATCCAGCGTAACAGAAAAAACTCTGAAACTTCTTCTTCTTCTTCTTTCTTTCGCTTGAAATTGATTATGTATATCTGCAATGTTGTCTCTAGTATGAACTTCACTGTCTTTTGTAATTCCCTCAGTGACCCGTAAAGTTTGACTTGCACCGATGTTTCTCTTGGCCAAAAGTTTTGCCTTGATATGTTGTATTTGAGACAGTTCTGGAGGACATGATCTGCTGTCTCAAGTGCCAATCCACATGTGCACATGGCTGATTCGCCTATTTTACAATGTGTGTACATGTGGCTGCAAAGTCGATTGTGTCCTGTTCTAAGGTGTAGAATACTAACTGGCTCTGGTCTGTCCATAAACTGGCAATTGTCTTGTGCCGGTTTTAGGGGCTCTCTGATAGATTTGATTGTTCTCTTCTTTTGTTGATAAGAGACTGCTACATCAGGTTGGTCTTCAACTGCACTTTGATTAGCTCATTCATTTCTAGGAATTCCACAGTAGGATGGTATCCATTGCATAGTTATCTTACACTGGCTGCCTAGTTTAAAGAGTAGTGTTCCTATACGAGGTAGTTTTCCAGATTGGTGTGCCTGAAGCACCGCTCCTGCATCTGTCAGAAATACCATTGGTTGTGAAATTTGACGTATATTTAACAGTTTCTCTGCTGCTATTTTGCTATAGTTGTGACAGTACTTTCCTGTAGAAATTTTGGCTGTATATCTGGTATTATTTGGACGCTCCTCCATTTCCACTTGCATTTAGTGCTGACCCATTCGTATAGACACGAACCCAAAGATTATGTGGGTATTCTTCGTAAAGTAGAGCAAGAGTGGCTGTTTTACATTGCACACTTATTTGTTCTTCCTTGTCGAATAATCCTTTCACTTCTGTCTGGATATGTATTGGCAACTTATAATTCTCGTTCCAAGGGGTCTGATCTGAAATAGCATTTAAGGGTTTTTATCAGTTGCATGCAGATCATTGGTTTGCCTGTAGATTCATTGGGCCTGGTGGATGAAGCTGCTTCTTTTTAGTCATCCCATTGCTAGTTTTTGGAATCTTTCTTTCATAGGGTGTTCAGGCATGCTAAGAAACTTTTCTGCTTGTATTAGTATCTTAGTGTCTTTTTGTTCTGTCAGTGTTTGAGACATCGCCATCTTCTCCATCACAGCTATAGGTTTTGAAATATCCCACCTGTTATGATTCTGAGCGCTTGATTTTGAACCTTGTCTTACTTTTGTAGTGTAGTTTTTTATGCTGAACTTTATGCAGTAGACTCGTGTTCAAGGTGTGGTCGTACACTTTGTTGATAAACTTTCCTAAGTATTTTCCCATTTGCTCCCCATATTGTTCCACTTAGTTTTCTTAGGATAGCTATCTTCCTTCTGGCTTTTGTTGCTGCCTTGTTGATGTGTTTTCTCCATGTTAACCTATCATCGAACATGACTCTGATGTATGTTGGCTCCTTATCCTCTCTTAGTAGTATTCTATTTATCTGAATGATGCCTGATTTTTTGTTTTGGGGACAGGGTGAAGAGAGTGATGCTACACTATGTTGATGTTCACACACCATTTATCAGCCCATGCAGCCAATGCATCTATGGATCTTTGTAGCAGTCGAGTGGCCACTGGTGCATATTTATGTGTGCACCATAGTGCCAAGTCATCCCTCTAAAACATACCAAAAACTTCAAATCAGCATGATATCATTAATTGGCTAAAACAGAAGATGAGATTGATGACAGATGCAACAAAGCAAACCAACTCACTGGGCAAATGCCACCAATAGTAAGAAACATATATGTATCAACAGGAACCAGAAGAGCACCCTGTGATAGTCTCTTTGCCAACCCTGTGTTATCAGTGCCAGACATGGACAATGACAGGAAAATAGAAAGCAAAAATTACAAATGCAAACAGATTTCTATGTAGGGCTCTCAGTACAACAAAAAAGAGATAAGATCACAAATGATGAAATCCAAAGGAAAATTCTGGGTAACAGCAACTGTGGATTTCATAAGAAGACAAGAGATTAAATGATTTGGCCACATAATGCAGATGTCAGCAGACAGTACACAACAACAAGCAATGAGGTACACACCATGTGGAAAATGAAAGAGAGGCTGACCATGCAGGTGATGGACAGATGGAATTACAGTCGCAAGAATTTCAATTTACGAAGCACATAAATAGGTGCTTTGCTGTAATTGATGCTTCACCTGGACACCCCAGGGTGCATGAGGATGCTTTGCTGTAATTGATACTTTACCTGGACACCGCAGGGTGCGTGAGGATGCTTTGCTGTAATTGATACTTCACCTGGACACCGCAGGGTGTGTGAGGATGCTTTGCTGTAATTGATACTTTACCTGGACACCGCAGGGTGCGTGAGGATACTTTGCTGTAATTGGTGCTTCACTTCAACGCCGCAGGGTGCGTGAGGATACTTTGCTGTAATTGGTGATTCACTTCGAAGCCGCAGGGTGCGTGAGGATGGAGAAGAGATGAGATGATGATCTCGTGAAAACAAAAATATAAATATATAAATATATTTCACTGTTACCTAACTTGACACTTAAATTCTGTCATTTTCTATTTGGGGGTAGCTTTGTCGGTTTAATTTTATGGGTAGCAGAATAAACAGGCTTTGATTTGAAATGAGCAACAAGAGGATAAACATACTGTGTATGGCCACTAGTGACAGGACAAGTACAATTAATTTTCCTCTACACTGTATAACCTTGCTGGGGTGTCTTCAGAGAATGTGTGAAAGTTAAAGAGGCATAAACATTAGCAGATGGGGCCTGCTTCTGAAGATGGTCCTGCCTGGGTGTGTCTTCTTTTTTTTTTTCCCTAACTGATGGTCATGAAATCTTGGCTGCACAACGTTTAACCCTCAGGAATTCACCTCAAGTACTCTGTCTCTCTACAGATGAAACCTGCCTTCGTTGCCAGAAAACGATCCCAGTCAGCATCCAGGTCAGAACTTCTGGTCCAGCCTGTGAGGAAAAACATCACATTTGAGACAGCTCCACCTGTCAAGTCATATGTGAGTGGACACCTACCATCACAGATGAATGCTACCTTACGCAACAAAACACAGTTAGAGACTGGTCACCACAGCTATATGTCCTCAGTGCCTACTGCCAGCTTTGGTTACCCACATTTAAGTTCTGTTGTCGTAGCATCTCATGATGCTCTAAAACAGACCTATAGCCGGGACGTGCTGGATGTTCGGCCCCAGTACTTCACCCAGCCAGCAAAACCATTTGCACCAAGAACACTTCGAAGCAGCCATGAGTCCAGGCTGAGACACTCCAGATGCTACCATCCTCCCCAGGCTAGGAGTGTCAGCAACGGACACACTGAGTCTGCTCAACAAATGTCCGCAGAACTCTGGCCACAGTCTATGTCACCAGCCACACATAAGCAGCCAAGGAGGCGTGTTTCAGATGAGGGCCATCAGACTGGGCCCCATGACCTGATGGACACCCTGATACACAGCAGTGGTGGAGAGTACCCTGACCAGACACCCAGTAGTGTGCCGCTCTTGGCAGTTCCCAGAGACAAGGACCACATGAAGTGGCTGAATAAGAGATCCAGAGAGAGTGATGATAACCAGGACATTGGATGTAGGCAATCATTGGTTGGGACAGGAAAACAGCTAGTATCATCCGGTGTGGATTCTAGTCTAAGGGCGGCTATCAAGATAGAGTTGATGAGGAGGTAAATGTGTCTGTCAGCATGCCAAACACTGAATTTACTGTTGTTCTTGTTCTTTTGTAGAGTAGTGTTGTTTCGTCAGACATGTAGATTTTCTGTGATCTTGTAGAGTGGTTTTGTTTCTTCAGACATTGTGGATTGTCTGTGATCTTGTAGAGTGGTGTTGTTTCTTCAGACATTGTCGATTGTCTGTGATCTTGTAGAGTGGTGTTGTTTCATCAAGCATTGCTGATTTCCAGCTCTGCCTGATATAACCCAGTTGGCAAATTCCAATTCATACAGTTTTGGCTAATCTAACACTGTTGACACATTCCCATACCTACAGTCCTGGCTGATCTAACACTGCTGACACATTCCCATACATACAGTCCTGGCTGATCTAACAGTGTTGACACATTCCCATACATACAGTCCTGGCTGATCTAACAGTGTTGACACATTCCCATACATACAGTCCTGACTGATCTAACACTGCTGACACATTCCCATACATACAGTCCTGGCTGATCTAACACTGTTGAAACATTCCCATACCTACAGTCCTGACTGATCTAACACTGCTGACACATTCCCATACATACAGTCCTGGCTGATCTAACACTGTTGACACATTCCCATACACACAGTCCTGGCTGATCTAACAGTGTTGACACATTCCCATACATACAGTCCTGGCTGATCTAACAGTGCTGACACATTCCCATACACACAGTCCTGGCTGATCTAAGTGTTGACACATTCCCATACATACAGTCCTGGCTGATCTAAGTGTTGACACATTCCCATACATACAGTCCTGGCTGATCTAACACTGCTGACACATTTCCATACATACAGTCCTGGCTGATCTAACACTGCTGACACATTCCCATACATACAGTCCTGGCTGATCTAACACTGCTGACACATTCCCATACATACAGTCCTGGCTGATCTAACACTGCTGACACATTCCCATACATACAGTCCTGGCTGATCTAACACTGCTGACACATTCCCATACATACAGTCCTGGCTGATCTAACAGTGTTGACACATTCCCATACATACAGTCCTGGCTGATCTAACACTGTTGACACATTCCCATACATACAGTCCTGGCTGATCTAACAGTGTTGACACATTCCCATTCCTACAGTCCTGACTGATCTAACACTGCTGACACATTCCCATACATACAGTCCTGGCTGATCTAAGTGTTGACACATTCCCATACCTACAGTCCTGGCTGATCTAACAGTGTTGACACATTCCCATACATACAGTCCTGACTGATCTAACACTGCTGACACATTCCCATACATACAGTCCTGGCTGATTTATCAGATAATGTTTTTGTCTACTTCCAGAGAGGAAGAGCACAAGTATTTGATGTTTGCCAAGGAGGTCACAAATGATGTCATCTCCCGGGGCATTTGTTCTGACAGGTACTACAGTATTTGTAACTTTACTGCAAGGATAACAATAAATAATAACAACAACACGAACAACACTAAACAGTGACAGCAACATTAATAATAACAAAAATAACAACAAAGAGAACAACAGTAAACATTAACAGCAACATTAGTAATAACAGCAACAAGAATAACAACTGTAAGGATAATTATATTACAAATTATAATAATAGAAATGACAAAAACAATAATAACAGTATTATAGCACATAATGCTAGCACAGAATACTGACATAGAACACTGACATTAGCACACAACACTGACATAGAACATTGACACTGGCACAGAATGCTGCCACAGAGCATTGACATTCGCACACAACACTTGCACAGAACACTGACACAGAACATAGACATAGGCACAGAACACTGGCACAAAACATTGTCATTGACACAGAACATTGACACAGGCAAAGAACATTGACATTAGGATCATCTGATGCCATAGTTTATGTTTGATGAGACAGTGCATGTATGATAAGACAGTGCATGTATGATAAGACAGTACATGTATAATAAGACAGTGTGTGTGTGTGTGAGATGAGACAGTGAACATGTGATGAGACAAAATAAGTGTGATGTGAGGTGCATGTGTGATGAGATAGTGTATTTGTGATGAGGCAGTGCATGTTCAATGAGACTGTGCATGTGATGAGACTAAGGTAGTGCGTATAGTGTCAGACAGTGCATGTAAGATTAGACAGTGCATGTAAGATGGGACAATAGAACAGTGTATGTAACATGGGACTGCATGCAGGATGAGGCAGTGTGTGCAAGATGAGACAGTGCATGTAAAATAGGACGTTTCTTGTATGTAAGATTTGACAGTGCATGTTTGTTGGGACAGCATTTGTAAGGTAAGACACTACATAAAAGATTGGATAGCACATAAAAGATGAGACACTGCATTAGGATGTGACAGTGCATGTAAGATGGGAGAGTGCATGTAAGATGCGATATTGCGTGTAAGATGAGAGAGTGCATGTAAGAGGAGATAGTGCATGTAAGTTGAGACATTGCATGTAAGATGAGAGAGTGCATGTAAGAGGAGATAGTGCATGTAAAATAAAACAGTGCATGTAAGATGAGACCATGCATGTGTGATGCAACAGTGCATATGTTATGATACAGTGCATGGAAGATGGGACATTGCATGTAAGGTGTGGGTGCATGTGTGGTGAGACTGCATGTAACATGAGTCAGTGCATGAGAGTGCATGTGTGGTGAGACAATGCATGCAAGATGAGACAGTGCATGTAAGATGAGACAGTGCATGTTAGATGGGACAGTGCATGTTAGATGGGACAGTGCATGTGAGATAGGACAGTTCATGTTAGATGGGACAGTGCATGTCAGATGAGACAGTGCATGTTAGATGGGACAGTGCATGTGAGATGAGACAGTGCATGTAAGATGGGACAGTGCATGTGAGATGAGACAGTGCATGTAAGATGTGACTGTGCATGTAAGGTAGTACAGTACACATAAAATAGGATAGTACATGTAACATGAGACAGTGCATGTAAGATAATACAGTGCCTGTAAAATAAGACAGTGCATGTAAGATTATAACATTACATGTAAGATAAGACAGTGCAAATAAGAAAAGACAGTGCATTTAAGATGATACAGTGCATGTAAGATGATACAGTGCATGTAAGATTAGAAATTACATGAAAGATAAGACAGTGCATATAAGATAAGACAGTGCATGTTGATAGTAATGGGTGTTTGGGTCAATGATTTCAGTGTTCTAGTTCGAGTGTTTGAAAACCACATGGAGAGGAGGAAGACAGAACTGGATATGGTGAGTACCAGCCAAATCAGTGAGATGTTGCCCTTGGTGTGAGTTGATATTTTATGTCAGAAGTCAGCTGTAGCTGAGAACCCACCTACCAGGATATGCTGTTTTTTGCTGTAAAACAGTGTTCTGTGTTGTGTCAGAGGTCAGAGACCCACCCACTAGGATATGTTGTTCTTGCTGTCAGACAGTGTTCTGTGTCAGAGGTCAGAGACCCACCCACTAGGATATGTTGTTCTTGCTGTCAGACAGTGTTCTGTGTCAGAGGTCAGAGACCCACCGACCAAGATATGTTGTTCTTGCTGTCAGACAGTGTTCTGAGTCAGAGGTCAGAGACCCACCCACTAGGATATGTTGTTCTTGCTGTCAGACAGTATTCTGTGTCAGAAGTCAGAGACCCACCCACCAGTATGTGTTGTTGTTGCTGTCAGACAGTGTTCTGTGTCAGAGGTCAGAGACCCACCCACCAGGATATGTTGTTGTTGCTGTCAGACAGTGTTCTGTGTCAGAGGTCAGAGACCCACCCACCAGGATATGTTGTTGTTGCTGTCAGACAATGTTCTGTGTCAGAGGTCAGAGACCCACCCACTAGGATATGTTGTTGTTGCTGTCAGACAATGTTCTGTGTCAGAGGTCAGAGACCCACCCACCAGGATATGTTGTTGTTGCTGTCAGACAGTGTTCTGTGTCAGAGGTCAGAGACCCACCCACCAGGATATGTTGTTGTTGCTGTCAGACAGTGTTCTGTGTCAGAGGTCAGAGACCCACCCACTAGGATATGTTGTTGTTGCTGTCAGACAGTGTCCGTTATCAGAGGTCAGAGACCCACCCACTAGGATATGTTGTTGTTGCTGTCAGACAATGTTCTGTGTCAGAGGTCAGAGACCCACCCAGCAGGATATGTTGTTGTTGCTGTCAGACAGTGTTCTGTGTCAGAGGTCAGAGACCCACCCACCAGGATATGTTGTTGTTGCTGTCAGACAGTGTTCTGTGTCAGAGGTCAGAGACCTACCAACCAGGATATGTTGTTGTTGCTGTCAGACAGTGTTCTGTGTCAGAGGTCAGAGACCCACCCACCAGGATATGTTGTTGTTGCTGTCAGACAGTGTTCTGTGTCAGAGACCCACCCACTAGGATATGTTGTTGCTGTCAGACAGTGTTCTGTGTCAGAGGTCAGAGACCCACCCACCAGGATATGTTGTTGTTGCTGTCAGACAGTGTTCTGTGTCAGAGGTCAGAGACCTACCCACCAGGATATGTTGTTGTTGCTGTCAGACAGTGTTCTGTGTCAGAGGTCAGAGACCCACCCACTAGGATATGTTGTTGTTGCTGTCAGACAGTGTTCTGTGTCAGAGGTCAGAGACCTACCCACCAGGATATGTTGTTGTTGCTGTCAGACAGTGCTCTGTGTCAGAGGTCAAAGACCCACCCACCAGAATATGTTGTTGTTGCTGTCAGACAGTGTTCTGTGTCAGAGGTCAGAGACCCACCCACCAGGATATGTTTTTGTTGCTGTCAGATAGTGTGCTGTGTCAGAGGTCAGAGACCCACCCACTAGGATATGTTGTATTTGCTGTCAGACAGTGTTCTGTGTCAGAGGTCAGAGACCCACCCACCAGGATATGTTCTATACTATTGATCACCCATGCTAAATGTCATGATGTCACAAATGAAAATATATCGATATGGTGCTAATTTCGTGAAGACCCACCAGGCAGAGATAGTGCCGGGCTCCTTGCTTCGAAGGGGTCCACCCAATACTACTGGTGGGCACCTACCCCTGTGCTGTGGAGTCAAGGCACAGGGCATTAGGGTAAAAGCTATTTACCAAATATCAAGGACACTCAACATACTGCAGTGGAATGCTGAAGGAATTTTAAATAAAAAGCTTTCCCTAACAAACCGTCTTCATGAAGACAAAATTGATGTGGCATGCATCCAAGAGACACACCTCAATGCCCATTACAGATTTTCTGTCAGAGGATATCAAGCTATACGCTGCGACCGAGAAGGGCACAAGGGAGGAGTTCTAATACTTATTCGAAACTCTATACCAAGCAGTGAAGTAGCTGTGAACTCAAATAACGATTCAGAAATTATAGGCGCTGATATCGTGATAAAGGAGGAGAAAATCAGAATATACAATTTATATAGCCCAGCAAACAAAGATCTTGCACTATCAAGAATGGAAATAAATTATACAAACTGCATTGTAGTTGGAGACTTTAAAAGTCGCTCAGAAAGATGGGGATACCCAGATACTGACACCAGAGGAGATGAAGTGGAGGACTGGGAAACAGACTCCAATCTTCATTTAATTAACAAACCAGAAGACAAACCCAGCTTCTACTCTAGAAGATGGTGCAAATCTTCCACTCCTGACTTAGCCTTCTGCACAGGAGACATTCTTCACAAAACTGATCGCAGTGTACTAGATCAGTTAGCAGGCAGCGATTACAGACCAGTAAAGCTTGTTGTAAATATGGATTATGTCCCACAGGAGCAGAAACCATTGCCTCAATGGAATTACAAACGAGCTGATTGGGATAAATTTGCTTTGCTGACAGATGAGTACTGTAAAACCATAAACACACGATATGGCAACATGAAGACAATAGTAGAAAGTCTAAACAAATCAATACTGCAGGCAGCATATGAGTGCATTCCAAGAGGTGCGAGGAAAAATTACAAACCATACTGGACCAAAGAACTGCAGATCCTGGAGGAAAAAGTCAAAAAGGCCAGGAAGACAGCAGAGAGAGAACAAACAACTGAAACAAACATTTCCCTGAAAGCCATCTCAGCAAAATACAGAAGAACATTAAATCAAACAACTAGAAATACCTGACAAGAAAAAACAGAAAGCCTCAACTTGTTCAAAGATGGAAATAAATTGTGGAAATTAGTAAAAGCCATGAACAATGAAGGGCCTAGTAACAAACAAATAACTATTAAACAGGGTAACAACATACTAACAGGAAAAAAGGCTGCAAATACACTGATGGAATACTATGCTAGTGCAAACCACATTGATATCACAACAGAACACAAAAAAGCAATGAAAGAGCAACGGACATGTCAAAATAACACAGAGAAATCAGAATTTATGATGGAAAATCTGAATATGGAAGAGCTGGAGCGGGCAGTGAGTTCCCTGAAAAAGAAGAAATCACCAGGGAAGGATGAGATCACAAATGAAATTATAATAGGACTGGGTACTAAGGCAAAAAAACAATTACTAGCAGTCTTTAACTGCAGATGGAAGAGAGGAATAGTCCCTCATGCATGGAAGGAAGCTATACTTATACCAGTCCAGAAGAAAGGAAAAGACCCGGCAGAACCAAATGCATATAGACCAATAAGCTTACTTAGCTGTGTAGGGAAGTTGATGGAACACATTTTAAGTAACAGATAAATGGGGCATCTAGAAGAAAAGCACCTACTAACTCCACAACAGGCAGGATTTAGAAAGTACAGATTCACTGAAGACCAAATAACATATATAACCCAGGAAATAGAGGATGCCTTTCAAGAGAAAAAACACACACTAGCAGTGTGGGTAGACTTAGAAAAAGCATTTGATAAAGTGTGGAAGGAGGGACTCAAAGTAAAACTTACAAAAAATGCGCGTTTGTGGGAAAATGTACAACTGGATCAGTCACTACTTCGAGAATAGAACTGCCAGGACAAAAGTACAAGGACAAACAAGCAAAAAAATGTTGTTAGAACAAGGTGTACCGGAAGGGGGAGTATTGTCACCAACATTGTTCTTAGCATATATAAATGATATTACAAGTAATTGTCCAACCAGAGTACACACCCCCATTCTTTGCAGATGACTTAGCTATATAGACTAGCAAAGAACATATTAGTGTAGCCAACAATAGAATGCAGCACGCCTTGTAAGTGTTAGATGAATGGTCAAAAACATGACTAGTGAATATCAGTGAAGAGAAAACAACATGCACTGTGTTCTCCCTCTCAAATAAAAAACAGCCAGTTAAGCTAGAGGTAAATGGAAAAATACTGCTCCAAGAGAACAATCCAAAAATACCTAGGTGTCACATTTGATTGCCGCCTGACATGGAAAACACAGGTAGAAGCAAGTCAAACAAGAGCAAGGCAAAGAATGGCAATCATGAAAAAACTTGCTCTCACAACATGGGGAGCTGATGAGAAAGTTCTCAAGAAACTATACACTGGACGAGAAAGGCCAGTCCTTGAATATGGTATTGCAGCTTGGGCAACAGTAGCAAAGTCAAACTTTATCAAAATAAGTAGAGTCTAAAATCAAGGAATGTGGATTATAACTGGGGCCATGAAAACAATGTATATTAATGAACTAGAAAAGGTCACAGGTCTGCAACCAATGGAGAATAGGAGAGACAGCAGAGCCCAGCAACAAGCAGAAAAATTTAGAAGGCTGGCAGATCACCCCAAGTATCAAAGGTTTAATCATCTGGGAAGGGGAAGACTAAAGTGAAAAAAACTGTGTAGAGACTGCAGAAACTAAAATCAGGGAGGATCCTGTACTCAACTTATCAGTATCTAAACCGTCCACATGACATATACGCTCCCTGCTTGCAGACAGCATCATCTGCATGAATTGATAGAAAATATTCCTGGTATTGAGAAAAAGAACACTCAGAATGAAACAGAAAGAAAGAAAATCACATTAAACTACTTAGAAGATCAATACCCAAGTAACACCTGGACTCATGCATATACAGACGGATCAGCAAAAAATTCAACAGAAAATGGAGGTGGGGGGATCGTCCTCAATCTAAAAAATGGATCAATGAAAACACAGTCAATTGCAACCAGAAAGTTCTCAAGTAATTTTAGAGCAGAGGCAGAGGCCCTGAGAATTGCAGCAGAAATGCTTCTGTCAGAGAAAAATAAAGAGGAATGCATAGCTATCTTCATAGATGCAAAGTCAGTTGTCTCAGCACTGAAGAGAAAAAATGATACACAACTAGCAGACCTTAGAGCTGCACTCCATGGACTGAGTCAGAAATCAAAAAGAGTCATAATACAATGGATTCCATCCCATTGCAACAAACCTAGAATTAAAGAGGCTGACAGGTTGGCGGAGGAAGGTGGAAGACTACCACAGCCTGATATAGACATAACATATGATGAGGCCAAGAGGTTTATAAGAAGCACATATAGAATCAAATGGGATTCTGAACATCCAGGCTACCAGAAGGATGATGCATACAACCAACTTGGCCGAAGAGAACAAGTAGTGATCTTTAGACTCCGCACAAGACATAATAGGCTGAAACACCACTTGTTCAATAAACTAAAGATAGGAGACAATGATGATTGTAACTGTGGAAAGGGTAACATGATGGCTAAACACTTGCTGCAAGAGTGTCCAATACATGCAGAACCGAGACAATTATTCTGGCTAACACCCGCAACTTTTGAGGATAAACTGTGTGGAGATTTCAACAACCTCAAGTTGACTGCTGATTTCTTCAAATATATCCACATTGACATCTGAAGGTATAAGAAGAATAAAACTCTGGGATTCTCTGAGCTGATAGTCCCTAGAGATGCAGAGCTCGTAAACCACGAAAAACTATATTGGATGAGGAAGCTGATAGTCCCTAGAGATGCAGAGCTCGTAAACCACGTAAAACTATAGTGGATGAGGAAGCTGATAGTCCCTAGAGATGCAGAGCTCGTAAACCACGTAAAACTATAGTGGATGAGGAGGTCCACTGCAGTAAAAGTCTAACATGCAATAGAAACAAAGTACTCATTTTGTGGTGTAGGTGAATTAAATCCTAGGTCGGCAGGCTGCATACTGTTGGCTGCAAAAGAGACAGCCCACGATGTATGAGATGTTCAATATATGGATGTGAGGTTAAACAGTCATGAGCAGGACGTGACGATTCCTTGGGTGAGCCCAGTACCAGAGCACCGTGTATTAGCTCTGCATTTGTGGAAGTCTCCTTGGATGGCGGGGAATGCTCATGTTCTGCCCCTGCCTTTCTCTCGAGGGCTGATCAGCATTATGTGGCTTCTCTGGACCAGCCTGATTGGGGCACCACCTGTGACTTGGTAAATAAAGATGACAACACAACAATGAGACTGCCATGTCCTAACCGGGAAGGCTAACCCGGTCAACAAATGCCCGCAGAAGTCGGATGTGTTGGCCGAAAGGTGCAAATATTGCAGCCGTGCTGTAAACGGACCTAACGCAATTACATCTTCGGATGAACGCAGAAGAAGAAGATCACCCATGCAGTAGAAGAATGGCTCAGATACCAAGTGATGCTTACATTTGTATACATAGGCTCGTGTAAGGGACAAGGCAGCAGTGCAGTATGTTGTATTATAATAAACAAGGGAACTGCACTGTATGTTATACTAAAAGGAACAATGGAACAGTGCTGTATATTATACTGCAAGGAACAAGGAAATGATGCTGTATATTGTAGTGTAAGGAACAAGGGAACTATGCTGTATCCCATATTGTAAGGAACCAGGGCACTGTGCTGTGCATCATGCTGTGAGAAACAAATAAAGTGTTGTATATTGTACTGTAAGGAACACGAGAATGTTGCTGTGTACTGTAATTTAAGGAATATGGAAACGGTGCTGCATACTGTAGAATGGTGCTGTATTTTTTACTGTAAGGAACAAGGGAACGGTATACTGTAGTGTAGGAAACAAGGAAATGGTGTTGTATATTGTACTGTAAGGAACAATGGAACAGTAATGTATATTGGACTGCAGGGGACAAAGGAACAGTGCTATATATTGTACTCTAGGTAATGAGAGAATGATGCTGTTTGTAAGGAACAAGTTAATGGTGCTATATATTGTACTGTAGGGGAAACACTGACAGACTTGTCCTTGTGAATTGTTACATCTCACTCTGTTGTTGTTGTTGTTGTTGTTGCTCTCACACATGAATCTGTGTGTCACTGACAGACTTGTGAATTGTTACATCTCACTCAGTTGTTGTTGTTTCTCTCACACATGAATCTGTGTGTCACTGACAGACTTGTGAATTGTTACATCTCACTCTGTTGTTGTTGTTGTTGCTCTCACACATGAATCCATGTATCACTGACAGACTTGTGAATTGTTACATCTCACTCACTTGTTGTTGTTTCTCTCACATGTGAATCTCTGTGTCACTGACAGACTTGTGAATTGTTGTTGCTGACAGACTTATGAATTGTTACATCTCACTCTGTTGTTGTTGTTGTTGCTCTCACACATGAATCTGTGTATCACTGACAGACTTGTGAATTGTTACATCTCACTCTGTTGTTGATCTGTATTAAACTGCTGCACTCTTTCGCTAACTGCCTACAACAGAAAACTGGCTCACTGCAACATTTCTGTTACAAAATGCTGTTGTATTCCAGGGTCGCATGCAAGCTGTTGTCAGAGAGCTGCTGGCAAGTATTGGCCTGCAGCCTACATCTCAAACAGCACCTGTAGCTTCAATGTTAGGCACTCACTACCTGCTGCAGTCAGCCACCAAGCTGCAGCTCCCCACGACTCATAGCTACAGCACCAGTGGTCATGGATTTGCTGGGAGATATAACAATCAATCTGGGCCAGAAAATTCCCCAGTCTCTCAGAGACACAGTTACATGGCAGAAGTTCAGGAGTGGACAAATATGAGGACCACAGACTGTGAGCTGAGTAGAGAAACAACACAGGTTACCTTCACCTTGAAGTCTGGGGAGACAGGAAATACTTCTAGTACCATGAATTTGGGAACCTCCCATGACAAAGTGGTCGTCATTAACAACGACTTGACATTGACACAGGCACTCAGACAGTACCAGCATGAGTTGACAGCCAAGGAGGACATGGATGAGTTGACAGCCGAGGAGTATATGGATGAGTTGACAGCCAAGGAGGATATGGATAAATTGACAGCCAAGAAGGACATGGATGAGTTGACAGTCAAGGAGTATATGGATGAGTTGACAGCCAAGGAGGACATGGATGAGTTGACAGCCAAGGAGGATATGGATGAGTTGACAGCCAAGGAGGACATGGATGAGTTGACAGCCAAGGAGGATATGGATGAGTTGTCAGCCAAGAAGGATATGGATGAGTTGACAGCCAAGGAGGACATGGATGAGTTGACAGCCAAGGAGAACATGGATGAGTTGACAGCCAAGGAGAACATGGATGAGCTGACAGCCAAGGAGGACATCGATGAGGACAGCCAAGAAGGACATAGATGAATTGACAGCCAAGGAAGATATATGTATGAGTTGATAGCCAATGAGGACATGGATGAGTTGACAGCCAATGAGGTGGATGAGTTGACAGCCAAGAAGGATATGGATGAGTTGACAGCCAAGGAGGACATGGATGAGTTGACAGCCAAGGAGGACATGGATGAGTTGACAGCCAAGGAGGACATGGATGAGTTGACAGCCAAGGAGGACATGGATGAGTTGACAGCCAAGGAGGACATGGATGAGTTGACAGCCAAGGAGGACATGGATGAGTTGACAGCCAAGGAGAACATGGATGAGTTGACAGCCAAGGAGGATATGGATGAGTTGACAGCCAAAGAGGATATGGATAAATTGACAGCCAAGGAGGACATGGATGACATTATTAGGAGGACGTTAGGAGAGTATAATCTAATAGAGACAGGAACACGTCTGAAGAAGTCACAGACTTAGTTCAGAGCCTACCAGTCTCAGGCTGCCATTCTCTGCTACAAACAGCACAAGAAGAACAATTAACCATTGTAACCTGAAGCCGGTACAAGCTGGTGCCACCTTACAGAATGACTGTTACTAGAGGATCATCTGACCCCATGGCCACCTCACAGAATGACTGCTACCAGGTGATCATCTGACCCCATGACCACCTCACAGAATGACTGCTACCAGTTGATCATCTGACCCAATGACCACCTCACAGAATGACTGCTACCAGGTGATCATCTGACCCCATGACCACCTCACAGAATGACTGCTACCAGGTGATCATCTGACCCCATAGCCACCTCACAGAATGACTGCTACCAGGTGATCATCTGACCCTATGGCCACCTCACAGAAAGACTGCTACCAGGTGATCATCTGACCCCATGCCACCTCACAGAATGACTGCTACCAGGTGATCATCTGACCCCATGCCACCTCACAGAATGACTGCTACCAGGTGATTATCTGACCCCGTGGCCACCTCACAGAAAGACTGCTACCAGGGGATCATCTGATCCCATGGCCACCTCACAGAAAGACTGCTACCAGGGGATCAACTGACCCCATGGCCACCTCACAGAATGACTGCTACCAGGTGATCATCTGACCCCATGGCCACCTCACAGAATGACTGCTACCAGGTGATCATCTGACCATATGGCCACCTCACAGAATGACTGCTACCAGGTGATCATCTGACCCCATGGCCACCTCACAGAATGACTGCTACCAGGTGATTATCTAACTCCATGGCCACCTCACAGAATGACTGCTACCAGGTGATCATCTGACCCCATGGCCACCTCACAGAAAGACTGCTACCAGGTGATCATCTGACCCCATGGCCACCTCACAGAATGACTGCTACCAGGTGATCATCTGACCCCATGGCCACCTCACAGAATGACTGCTACCAGGTGATCATCTGACCCCATGACCACCTCACAGAATGACTGTTACCAGGTGATCATCTGACCCCATGGCCACCTCACAGAATGACTGCTACCAGGTGATCATCTGACCCCATGGCCACCTCACAGAATGACTGCTACCAGGTGATCCTCTGACCTCATGGCCACCTCACAGAAAGACTGCTACCAGGTGATCATTTGACCCCTTGGCCACCTCACAGAAAGACTGCTACCAGGGGATCATCTGACCCCATGGCCACCTCAAAGAATGACTGCTACCAGGGGATCATCTGACCCCATGGCCACCTCACAGAATGACTGCTACCAGGTGATCATCTGACCCCATGACCACCTAGAAGACAACACAGAATATTGATTTTTCTGTTCCTTCTTTTATTTTTTATTATCATTTAACTTTTGACAAGACAGAATCTATGGAGGCCTCAAAAGATAAACACTGACATTTGATGCTCAAGACAAAAACTTTTGGATTACGAAACAAAGAGCTGATGAATGATCTATTTTTGTTGTAATAATATAGTTACTTAGCTATTATTCTATCTCTTCCCCCCCCCCCCCCCCCCCCCCCCCCCTATATCTGTTTCTTCCTAATCTCAGGCGTAGCAGTTTCGTAGACAACAGCAGTAAATACTAAGTGTCTGAAATCGATATACAGGTGGCATTGCAAGGATTTGAGCCGCCCTCACCCCCCCCCCCCCCCCCCGCCCCCTAACCCCGCCTAACAGAATGAACAGACGAGCAACGAACAAACTTTACTTCTAAATGGTCTGTCTAACAGTATGCCCTTCCACTCTACTACTTGCACACAGTTTTTCATTCGTACATATCATTTCATAGAAATAATAATAAAAATAACCATAGTGAAAATAATAATCATAAATATTTACATCATCTAACTCATAATAATAAACACTGGAATGTGCTGTAATTATACTTACATTACTGAACGTTTTAAAATGCATGGTTAGTTGTGTATTCTTTACAGGACGCTGCAGAACCAACCTCAACAGCCCCTGGCTGTTGTGTGGTTTTTTTAAGGCAAATTTTTGTCCAGTAGTTTGCCATTGCTTTCTGAAATAAAATGTATAGTCATCTAAAAATGGCATGTCTAATAAGTTGCATTATATAAAAATCATCAACATCAATTAAATATTAGTTACAAACAGGAATGCGTTCGACTGGCATCTTCATTTTTCAAACAATAATAACTTTCAGTGTTAGAAAATAGGAAAAAAACCTAGGACATCCGATGGAAATACATCATATCCTTAACATATTTTAGTCCTTTAAGGGGGCGTATAGTCTGTAGTGACATATTATTCAAATAGTTTCCAATTGTACGTAAAGGGGTTGGTGATATTTTGATTTCCTGCGAAAGATGATTCCACAGCTAAGCTGCAGAGTATGCTAGGCCTGTTCTGTACTGATCTTTTCTAGTTTTAGAGATATGCCATATGTTCAGGCGTTTGCTATGTATACCTTTGTACTTAAATAATGGTCAAAGGTAACAAAGCGGCGTCCGTGGCCTAGGCTTTGCGAGTCCGATTAGTAATTCCAGCGTAACAAGGTCAAAACCCACTGTTGGCTGCGTGGATTTTTATCATGGTATGGGGCGTTGCAGGCCGACCCAACCTAAAATGGGTACCAGGATGGCTGTCCTGGGAAAGTAAAGACGGCCGGCATAATGCTGACCATATTATCCACCTAGTGCCCATTGGTCTGTAAAAATATGGGAGGCTCTTCCCATATGTCCTATGCGCATAAAAAGGGGTCTTTACTTACTTTACTCTGTAAAGGTATGAGGGAGAATATTTGGCTATGATTTTGTGAATACATTTTGCTTTATTGAATAGTAGGCGTTCTAGGAGCGGTAATAGTATAAGTTCTGTATATAGGTGTATCAGTAGCTTCCATAATTATTTATTAAAATATTATAATTTGAAGTGCTTTCAGTCGTTTGATGACTGAATTTACACATCCATCCTATATTGTGGAGCAATAGTCTATGAGGATCTGATCTAAATATCTTCTCCTTGTTCTTCGCGTTCGGTTTCGTATGCTCAGATCAGACCAACAGGTGGGTTGCCTCTATGAACTCGCATGTCAGCTGCAGGTCCTGCATGGTTCCCCATAGCTTGCTCTGCATACTTTGCTCTTGAGGCCAGGTGTCTTTTCGAAGTTGCAGGTAGAGTGGACAGGTCTGCAGAATGTGCTGGGGTGTTTATGGTCCTGTTTGACAGGCACACTGTGGGGACTGAACAATCTTTATTTTATGCATGTGGTAGTTGAGCCTGCAGTGTCCTGTTCGTAGACGGAAAATTGTTGTATGTTGCTTTCTGTTGAGTCTGCTGATGGGGTTTTGTGGTTTGTTTACTGTTAGTTTGTTCTCTCCACAATCCCTTGTATTTTCCTTTGATAAATGTTGTGATTTCTGGTAATGACAATGAATGGGCGTGTTGTTTCTCCTTTGTTCCATTTTTTGCAAGTCTGTCTGCTAACTCATTTCCTGGTATGCCGCAGTGTGATCTGAATATTAGAAGTATTTAATAATTTTCGAGTGTTTTCATCCAGAAAGTTTGTAATATTTGCTCGTTGGTATATTCTTTCAGTGGTTCGTTTAACAAGTTTTTGCACGAGGCAGTTGAGATAAGATTTCTTTCGATGATGAGACCTAAATATTTGTGCTCAGTGTTGTGCTGATTCTGTTGATTTGGAAGGGTCGTAACAATGTTTGGAGACAATGTTGTATACATTGTGTTTTCATGACTCCATAGGAAGGTCCGGTGACCTTGGTCAATATTTGGTGCAGTGTTGACTTAAGTCAGGAAATGTCAGTTCGCCTTGAGTCAATATTGTGGCAAGTGAGAGTTGACTTAAGACTGGACGGACCAGTGGATTCACGAAGTTATTAGTCCAGTGAGGGCTAACTATCATGAGTAGTGCGTGAATAGCAGCTGTCGCATGGAAGAATTATGGGGTGCTTGACAACGTGCGTCTCGTGTGCACGGGCCAGCTCACAAGAGGCAGGCAATGGTATAGACTGGGGTTGGGTTCAGTTGAGAGCCGTGGACAGTTGAGAACTCAAACCGGTGAGTCGAGTACAATCAAGGAAAAGCACTCACGAGAGTACAGTCAAAGGAAGAAAAGTCCAGTTGGCAGAGTCAGGCCAAGAGAGCTGGACTACTTCAAGAAGACGCTCTCTTGGATGACGTCGCATGTTAAGAGGTAGGATCACTAGTGAAACAAGAGAGCTGGACTACTTCAAGAGACGCTGTCTTGGATGACGTCGCATGTTAAGAGGTAGGATCACTAGTGAAACAAGAGAGCTGGACTACTTCAAGAGACGCTGTCTTAGATGACGTCGCATGTTAAGAGGTAGGATCACTAGTGAAACAAGAGAGCTGGACTACTTCAAGAGACGCTGTCTTGGATGACGTCGCATGTTAAGAGGTAGGATCACTAGTGAAACAAGAGAGCTGGACTACTTCAAGAGACGCTGTCTTGGATGACGTCGCATGTTAAGAGGTAGGATCACTAGTGAAACAAGACATCATAGATGTCAGCAATAGCTGTGTGCTGAAGAGGGAT